GTTTACCTAATATAAAAAGAAATAATGAAGTATAGTGACGCGTATACAGTTTATTAACAACTTTTTTTTGTCTTAGGTTTGTGAAACTTGTCGAAAAAACCTTTACCATACCTTTTGCTCTGCAATTATTGATACTTGTCACATCGTTAAGCTGCACCTTGTTACAAGTATATGTACTCATTTATTATAAAATTTTTCTGGAATCGCAAATATTTAAAATATCACATTTTCTGTATTCAAGATTACACAGCAAGAAGCCGGTGGTTTGGAAACTTCCAGGTACATATTCTACGTGATGGGTCAGCTATTCCATTTATTTTGTCTTAGTTTTGAGGGACAAAAGCTGATAAACCACAGTCTCGAGATGTGCGACAAGATGTAAGACAATCGTCTTATAACTCACCTAAAACAAGCCACCTAATTCCTTTACGTGTTCTTTTCTCTGCAGTTAGCTCGCGTCTCTTTTTGAAACGTTGCAGATACGATAGTTCTTGGTACGAAGCATCCATTAAATCACAGAAGCTGCTTATTCTGACGATGTTACGGAGTTTTCGACCGACTTTTTTGAGCGCCGGCGAAATTTACGTTTTTTCGTTGGAGAGCTTCACTACGGTAAAGAAAAAAATTAACTGCTACTGATTAGGGATGGGTGATTCCGATTTGATTTTAGAAATAATCGATTTTCACTTAGATAAAATAGGTATATGTCAGTTGATTTTTTCTTATACATGTATAATTTCACACGAAACCATTATTTTAATTGAAAGTTGACAAGGCTTGATAAAGTTGTAATGATAAATAATGCAGTATATAATTTTAAAGAGAAGTAACTCTATATGGCCATTTGAGAATCTTGCTCATAAAATTCAATTGAATTTTAGTAAGAATGATGCCATTCAGACTGAATTAAAATATTATCTTACTCAAACAATTATTGTGTTATGTGAAGATCGAAGTCATTCNTTTCACACGAAACCATTATTTTAATTGAAAGTTGACAAGGCTTGATAAAGTTGTAATGATAAATAATGCAGTATATAATTTTAAAGAGAAGTAACTCTATATGGCCATTTGAGAATCTTGCTCATAAAATTCAATTGAATTTTAGTAAGAATGATGCCATTCAGACTGAATTAAAATATTATCTTACTCAAACAATTATTGTGTTATGTGAAGATCGAAGTCATTCTTGTATAGTT